AGGCCACATAGCAAACCATGTCTCAAAAAAAAGTGAGGCTACAACTCTTGTCAGTGAGTATTAAAATTATTATTCCATTTTACAGATGAGAAAATTAAAGCTTAGAGATAGGAAGTGACAGAACCAGGGTTACACAGTCAATTTATGTGCTGGGTCATACTAAAGGCAACTATAGTGCTCAGCACATGGTGAGTGCTCAGCAACCTTCATTGAGTGACTGTACACAAAATACCACAGGGACTTGGGACCTTCGTGGCCTAGCTCTGGCTGGGAGGCAAGGAGAGGCCTCACTGAGGAGGTGGCTATGGGACACAGCTATGGCTGGGGATGGGCGCATCTCTCACCACCCTAACTGTCCTTTTCCTGAGGGCAGAGTCTGTTTTTCTCTCTCTCTCTGTCTTTCTCTCTCTCTCTGTCTTTCTCTCTCTCTCTGTCTTTCTCTCTCTCTCTGTCTTTCTCTCTCTCTCTTTCTCTCAGCATGGCTAGTGTGGTATTAATTGTTAACTAATTATTAATTGTTAATTAATCTGACTGTAGTCCTCATTTCACAGTGCAAAAGTGTATCAAATAAGTAAGCTGTACATCTTAAATATATACAATAAAAATTATGCAACAGAATCAGCTGGAGAGATGGACAACCTGAGTCCTTAGCCAGGTAGTAGAAAAAGGGCCCTATGTGGTGGGCCTCTTTTCCAGTGTGGGGTGTCCTTCCATCTCCACTCCAGCAGAACCTGCAGCTTGTCTGTCACTGGCTCTTCCTCCCATAGGAAAAAACCTCAAACAGACCAGGCCCTGTGGCCCCTTGGGTCTCAGCCAGTCACGTGTGTACGTGTGGGGAGTATCTCCAGGTTCCCAGCCTCTCCATCATGGTTCTGCTGCTCTGGGTCCTCTGAGTTCCCTAACATCCTTCCTCTTATCAAACCTGTTACCTGTCTCTATGGTGACATCGCCTCACCCAGCTTCCTTGGTGGTCTGGTTGCCTCATAGGATGAAGCTCTGAGAACATTTTTCCTAATGTGCAGCCAGAAGCTCCCACTTCCTGTGCCCAGGGCGGCCCCTTGAATCTTACCCCACTCTTCCCTCCTTCAGCCTCTCCAATCAGCATCCTCATCATCCACCCCACCCCATCCTGCCATGTCCAGTTAGGAGGACGTATAGCCCCTCTGGGTATCCCAAGGCCTACTGGGAAGAAGGATTGAGGGTGAGACTGTCAGCTGTCCTCCCTGCCCTCTTGCTTGTTGGCAGCAGCAGCAATTGTGGACCTGGAACAAATGAAAATGTGATGGCTCTGTCCAAACTTATTAAGAATTTCAGAACTACAACAGCTGAGTTAATATTAAGCCCAGGTCCTTCAGAGTGTAGGGTCCTATGCAACTGCCCAGGCCACATGCCCTGAACTCGGTCCTGGAGAGCTGTGTGCATATGGTGTGTGTGTTTATGTATGTTCAGTATATGTATGTTCCATATGTGGTGTGTGTGTATAGTGTGGTATATATGTGCGGTGCGGTGCATAGTATGTATATATGTGTGGGGTGTGTGTCTATACATGTGCAGTGTGTGGTATATGTGTAGTATATATGGCATGGTGTGTATGTGGTACGCATACTGTGTGTGGATTATATATGTATATACACATATATATGTTGTGTACATTGTGTGTCACATGTGTGCATGTGATGAGGTATATGTTGTACGTATGATGCATGTGTGGTACGTGTGGTGTTTGTGCATGGTGTGTGTATGTGTGGTGTGTATGGCATATGTGGCAGGTGTTATGCATGTGTGGTGTGTGTGTGTGATGTGTGGTAGATGTTATATGTGATGTGTGGTAGGTGTTGTATGGCATATGGTGTGTGTGGTGTTGAATGTGTGTGGTATATGTGTGATGTATGATGTATGGTAGGTGGTGGTGTGGTGTGTGGTATGTAGTACATATATAGTGTATGATGTATGTGTTGTGTTGTGTGGTGTGTGTGTGTGTATGTTTGTTCATACGATGACAGTGGTAAAGCAGTTTGTATTTAAGCTTGGGTGTCCATCTCAGCCACAGATTTGTTAGATCCCCAAACAACATGACTGAACCCTACCTTCTACCTGGGTTGAAATAGATTGGAGGGGCAATCAGAAGCCAGAAGGAGCCAGACTTGTCCACAGTTAGACAATCATAAATTTTCCCAATTGAAAGGCGAGACCTGGGAAAGCTACTTATTTCCTCTAAAGAGCTTCTGCCTTCATGGTAGGTAGATGTGTCAGGAAATGGCAACTTGAAACAGCTAGAGCTCCAGCATGTACAGTGCTGATAGGCACGTGTACCCTCCTTGTAACAGCACTGTGAGATAACAGAGGAAACACAGCTAGATGATCACTAGCTCAGTACATGACCCCCACCTTGTACATATAGATTCACATGGCGAATGCAGCCACCACCAAACCCCAGGCACCCAAGGCTGGGGTCCCTTCAGTTTCCCACGTGTCCATGCAAGACCAAGTGTCAGAGCTGTGTTTTCTGGGCTGCTCAGCTGGTCTCCTAGGATAGTAATAGGTCAGATCTACTGACTTGATAGGACAACCTCTAGGGGTGCTGGGGGTGTCTGCCTGTCTTCTCTTCTGTCCCCAGGAAGGGCCCAGAGCCCCTTGCTAGGGCCCTTAGCCATCTCTAGGCCCTGTGGTATCAACACAGAGGGGCTGGACTTTGAATTCTCTGCTTGGCCTCCCTCTTTCTACCCTCTACTCCTCTGTTTTCCCCTTCCCCTGGCATCAGGCTCACCCTTTTCCCTTTTGTGAGAGAGCCAAGCTGAATGGGACTCGCCCACCGGATCATTTGAAATCTCCCCTCTGGCCCCACCTGGCCCTCCACTGAGCTCGCAGCTGGGCTGGGTGCTTGTCTGGGACAGGATGTGGGGGGCGCTTGTGGGGTACAGCCCCCTCCTCCTCAGGGAACAATGAGGCTGCTGGCCCTGGTTGGTGAGGTGGAGGGAGTGGGTGGGGGGTATGGAACTGCATCAGAGACTCTGAGTGCGGCCCCTGGGGGGACAGCTGAGTGATGAGGCCTGAGTCACATGCCCCACTTGCTCCTTGAACTCCCGCTCCAGTACCTGTCAAGACACATCCAGAAATGCACAGGGTAAATATTTAGAGGTAATAGTTTTTGAGGTACCTCGACTCTCTCTCCTTATGTGAGGGAGAGGAATCCAGGCAGACCCAGCATGACAGCCTAGGCCTCTGTGTGCATCACTTCAGAGCCCGAGCATTCCGAAGGGTGGATCCAGGCTAACATCAAGGAGCCCTCTTGGCCCCACTTGCTCCTGCCTTCACCTGTGACCATCAATGTGCCAGCTGTTGCCTCTGCTGAGCCTATTCTAGCCCTACAGGCCTGCAGCTGGCCCCTCCATTTCCATGGGGCTGTTGGGAGGGAACACTGACAAGAGCCAGCCCACACTGGGCATGCCAGTTCCTTGGCTATACCCTGCACAGAATGTCTTCCTTCCTCAGAGGACATGGAGTCTGGGGCCCGAGCTTTATCAAAGATAAAACGTTTGAGACTAAACAGTCTTTTTATAGACTGGAGCTGGGCTCCCACAGCACATGTTCCCCTCCATTCCCAGTCTGCCTTTCTGAGTATACTCAGAAAGCAGACATGTTTCTGGGACACATGGAAGCTAGGAGGTTTGAGAGTAAACTGCACTCTTAGGGAAATGAAGCTGCCAAAAGGCTTGTTATGCTCAGAGATGTTGTGACCTACCTTGGTACCCCCAGGAGCAGCACCTTGGGGGCAAGAATCAGCTGGTGGGATATTGAGATAGGATGGAGCCCAAATGTGTCAGGCATGCATTTTCAGCCTTAGACTTCACTGCTCACTCGGGCACAAACAAGAAAATGCTCACAATGGGCAGGACCTACAAATCAAGGTGTGTAAGGCAGAGACTTCTTGTGTATAGGACCCCCAAGGGGAAGTTGGAAGGAAGAAAGCAAATAGTTACTGTATATGTATGTACTCTTCATCAGGCAGTCTGTAAACATAAGCTCACTTAATCCTCACAGAGATTTTACCAGCTTGGTGTTAATTGTCCTCTTTTTATGGATGAGGAAACAGAAAGTCATAGTGGTGGAGAGCTCAAGGACTGATGGGTAACTAAAGGTGAGATTTGACCTCGGGGCCTTTTGACTCCAAAACTCAATCCTCTTTCCTTTTGTTTTCTTGGATGTAAAATGGCAGCTCCCCTGGGATTATTGTGAGGATTAAATGAGATTATTTGGATAAAGGCTAGTTAGTGCCGGGTACAAGGTGCGTCTTCGGTAATGCCAGTGTGATTATTGTGATGGTTTGTGTGCGGGGTATCTTCAGGAACAGTGACACAAACCCCCACAAGGTCTCTCAGATAACATGAGCAACAGAATGATTTAGAAGGTGAGTTCACAGAGAGCCCAGATCTGCACATCTAGCCACTTCAGAATCTGCGAATCTTCTGGGGTGTGCCAAGAGGTCAAGAAAGACAAGGGCCTGGAGAAGCAAAGCAGAGAGGAAGGGGGCTGGCAGAGATCTCAGTGGGCAGTGGAGCCCACCATTATGGGCTGGAGCAGGACAACACATGGCTGGGTTGGGGGCAGGAACATTGGGAAACTGCTGCATGGGTAGCCACCCAGAGTCTGTCTCCCTTGAATGGATGAGGCATTATTTGCACAACAACCCCTGCCTTCCTGCTCTGAAATTCTGTACCCTTTTTTTCTAGCTTGACAGGGAGATAAGTTTCCTGGCTAACTACAGCTTGACCCAGGAGACCCTCCCAAAGGGGACAGGGGGAGCCTGGACAGAGAGTGGACCCATTTTTGTTCCCAGAGTACATATGACTGTTGTTGCTAGACTGGCTGTGGGATAGGATGACATGGGGATGGTGGGGAACTATGGGAAGTTTTGCAGTTCCAGATGGGGACTGGAGCTGGACAGTGTTGATAGTACAGGAGGGCACTCACAGCCTCCTTTCCATTTTCTCTCCACACAGAGACCTCAGCATGAACAACCTCACGGAGCTTCAGCCAGGCCTCTTCCGCCACCTGCGCTTCTTGGAAGAGCTGTGAGTCCATGGTTCCAGGTGGGAGGTGGAGCTCTGGTCACCAGTTGTGGGGACCAGGGCTCTTCTAGAGTGGACCTCAAGGGAGAGAAAAGAGCTTGGCAGGCGAGTGTTTAGTTGAGACCTGGCACCAGAGTGACAGTGTCTAGCGACATAGCGTCAGAGGGCTAAGGTCTAACCAGAACTCTTCAGCTTCTCTCTACACCCCTACTTAACAAAAAACATACAGGATCTCTCTATGCAGCTCAGGTTGGCCTGAAATTCACTATCTAGCTCAGACTGGTCTTGAACTTGCTGTCATCCAGCTTCAGTCTCCTGAGGGCTGGGATTACAGGTATGAGCCACCATACTTGGCTTAGCTTTCCCTCTTGCTGCCCCCTTTCTCTGGAAAGCACCTCTGAGCTGCTACCATCCTCTCTACCCAAGCTGTCTGCTTGGGGGAGGGAATGGTCCACGTGGGTGACGCTAGCAGCAGGCAGAGAAAATTTCCTGGTGAAGGAAACCAGTTCTCAAAGGCAGCAGAGGCCCTTCTAAGGTGGATGGGGCACAGCTTGGGTGGGAATGCAAAAGAGAGCTAAGGCCAGGGCATTTCATAAGACCAGCTTTCCATCTCCCACTCACTGAGAAGGGTCTGGACCTGTTTTAAAGGCCGCACCTAAAGGAGCAATACACCACCTGTACCCAGAGCCCAAGCTTGGAGACCTCAAGTGTCAGGTTACTTTTTAAACAACAAATGTCAAATAAAGAGATCCATTTGCCTGTCTCTGCCTCCACTGGAATTAAAGGCATGTGCCACTTTGCCAGGCAAAAAAAACTCAAAGCTTTCTGAGCACTGATAGGATGCCATGGTGGACAGTTCTGCACCTGACCTCTTGTGACAGGTTTGAATCAAAACACAGGAAAACTAAAATTACTGTAGGAGTCAAAGAGTATAGCTTGCCTGTGGGGTGCATGCTTAGCATGCTTGAGGTACTGGACTCCATCTCCAGCATCCCCAAAACCCCAAACAATAAATTATTGCATAAAATTACCTTCAGACTCTGTGTTTATAAAACAAGTCATTTTGGACTGGTGAGTTGGCTCAGTTGATAAAAGTACTTACCACCAAGTCTGATGATCTGAGTTTGATCCCCAGAAACCACATGATGGAAAGCACAAACCACCTTCCACAAGTTGTCCTCTGACCTTTCACTTGTGCATTGTGGCATGTGTATACACACACACACACACACACACACACACACACGCACTAAATAAATAAAATAAGAAGAAAAAAAAGTGAATTTTGAGTTTAAGCTTGTGCCTCACCCCTAAGATAGATATCTCATTATATAGATGCAAATACTTGGAAATCTGGAAGAATCTGAATTCCAAACACTCCTGGTGCTAGGCATTTCAAATACAGGCTACTTACTATATCCTCTACCTCACAGGATTACTTCAAAACCTGAGCCAATGACTGGGAAGCATACAGTGGACCACAGAGCTCAGTAAATGGCATGTGCTGCCACTGTCCTTCCTCCTGTACCCCAAGACAGGCACTTGCTGGCTCACTCCCTCCTTGGGTTACTTGTCAACACTGCTGACCTTTGTCTCTGATTTGCAGGCGGCTCTCCGGGAATCATCTCTCACACATCCCAGGACAAGCATTCTCTGGCCTTTACAGCCTGAAAATCCTGTAAGTAGAGGCCTTTTGTTGAGATGGTGGTCAGCAGGAGTGTTGTCATTTGAGTATGGCTTCCCAGTTGATTTGCTTCTCATTTCCTTATCTCCGCTTTTCATTTCACTTGTTATTTCCATTTCTTGCTTTCCCCTTGTCTGATTTGTAAACAAAGATTAAAAGGAACCCAAAGTACTTGGCATCCCAGCAGGAGGGAGCAACTTTGTGAACAATTATCATTGTAGGGCCCAGTTCAGGGTAATTTTGTTTTGGTTTTTACATTTATGATTTATTTGTGTGTGTGTGTGTGTGTGTGTGTGTGTGTGTGTGTGTGTGTGTGTGTATTGTACATGTGTAGAGGTCAGAGGACAACTTTTGCAAGTCTACTCTCTCCTTCCACCACGTGGGTCCTAGGGATGGAACTTGGCTTGGCAGGCTTGCCAGCAGGTGCTTTTATCCACTGAGCCATCTTACCAATCCTTGGTTTTAATTTTAAAAGTTACTTATTTATTTTAATTTTAAGTATGAGTGTTTCTGCCTGCATATATGCTAGTACACATGTGCATGCAGTATCTGTGGAGACCAGAGGAGGGTATTAGATCCCCTGGAACTGGAGTTACGGACAGTTATTAGCTGCTATGTGGGTTCTGGGAACTGATGCTGGGTCCTGTGTAAGTGTAGCCAGTGCTCTTAACCACTGAGATGTCTCTTCAGCTCAATTAAAAATTAATTTTTGAGAGCTGGAGACATATGTAGTTCAGTTGATAGTGCTTGTTTAGCATGCATGAGGCTCTGGGTTAGATTCCCAGCGCTGTATAAACCAGGCGTGTTGGAGCATACCTGCAATTCTAGTACTTAGGAGGTGAAGGCGGAAAATCAGAGGATCAGATAGTTCAGTCATACATGTTTGCCATGTAAGCATGAAGACCTGAGTTCAAGCCCCAGCCCCCACTTAAAAAACCAAATGTGATGGCTTGTGTTTGTAATCCCAGTGTTTAGGAGGCTGAGACAGATAGATGCCCCTGCCTCTGCCTCTTGAATACTAGGATTAGGCTAGGTTGGAAAACCCCAGGTCCAGCGACAGACTTTGTCTCAAATAAATGCCCAAGTGGTTGGCTCCTGAAGAACAACACCCTGAGGTTGACTTCTAGTCTCCATGTGCTTGCGCACCTACACATGTGTACCTGTGCAAGCATGAACATGCATGGGACACGCACAAAAGAAGCTCAAGATCATCTTCAGATACATAATTTGAAAAAAGAAAAAAAATTGAAAAGAAACCTTTATTTAAAAAAAAATAGTACGTATTGATGGGGCTGGAGAAATGGTTCAGTGGTTAAGAGCACTGGCTGCTCTTGCAGAGGACCCAGGTTCAATTCCCACACTCACATGGTGGCTAACAACCATCCATAATTCCAGCTCCAGTGGATCTGGACACCATCTTTTGACCTTTGTGGGCATTGTACAACATGGGTGCTCTTACATACATGTAGGCAATACACTTATACATATAAGATAAAAATAATAAATAAAAAATTATTTATGGTGGAGAGACAGCCCAGTGGTTAAGAGCACTGGCTGCTCTTGCAGAGGACGTGGGTTTGGTTTCCAGAATCCATATGATGGCTAGCAACCATCCATAATTCCAGTTCCAGTGGATCTGATGCCCTCTTCTGATCTCTGCAGGCATTGCATGTCACAAGTGCACTTACATACATGGAGGCAATATACTCATACACATTAAATAAAAATAATAAAATATTTTAAAAATATTTATTTATTTATTTATTTAGATGTTTCTGCATTTAGTAGATAAGGCTGGCTTTGAACTCACAGAGATCCACCTGCTTCTGTTTCCCGAGTGTTGAGATTAAAAAGAAGTTAGCACTACCATGCACTGCCAAGTACTTTTAAAATTATTATTTTTAGTTACCATGCAAGATAATGGGTTTTATTATGATTTTTTGGGGGGGGTTAAATTATTTTAATGTCCTTACTAAAGACCTATCCCAAGACACTGGCAGGTAGGCTTGGTGGGTAAGTAGCATTCACTTGACATTGTCATACATATGTATCATTGCACTTTGCTGATGTTCACCTCTCCTACTACCCTTTCTTTCATTCTTTGTTTTGTTGACTTTTTTTATTTTTTGAGACAGGATCTTTCTATGTAGAACTGACTGACCTGGAACTCAGTATGTAGATCAGGCTGCTCTCAAATTTGTACTGATTCCCCTGCCTCTGCCTCCTGAGTACTAGGATTAGAAGCATGTGCTGCTGTGTCAAGTCTTTCAATTTTTTTGGTTTGTTTGTTTTGTTTTTGAGAAAGGGTCTTGCTATGTAACCCACACTTGAACTTGAAATTCTCCTGTCTTAGATTCTCAAGTGCTTGGATTACAGGAATTTGCCTGGCACATGTGGCAGTTCATCTGCCTTCCTTTCCTTCCTTCCTTCCTTCCTTCCTTCCTTCCTTCCTTCCTTCCTTCCTTCCTTTCTTCCTTCCTTCCTTCCTTCACCCCTCCCTCCCTCCCTCCCTCCCTACCCCTCCCTCCCTCCCTCCCTCCCTCCCTTCCATTTTTCTCCTTAAGGTTCAGCCTTAGTCTCTGCCTTGGGCCCTGAGCTCTCACTCTCACTATGAAGGAATTTCCTCCTTCAAAGCTGGCTGCCTCCTCCAGCCCCTTTCCCCCCTTTCAGGAGCAAAAGGAGCATGAGAGGTGGAAAGGACCTGAGTTCTCTGACTTAACTCTTTGCCATTGTGCTGGCAGCCCATTGTAGAGAAGGGAAGACTGAGGCACTCTCTCCACCTACTCCAATCCATGATGTACACTGTCCTAGCTAAGTCTGATTTCCAAGTGGAGAACAGGTGGAAGGAGACAGGAAGAAGTGTATATAGAGTCTGAAGACAGGTGGGCGCTTCCCAGAGAGGATGCACCATCACAGGACTAGTGTGGGAGGAAGATGAGCATTTATGGGGCTGATCCCATGGCAACAGAATGAGCACTTGGGGTGTCCCCAAGGTAGTGAGCCATTCCCTAGTTCTGCTATTCTGTCCTGACTATACATGTAGCTCTGTATAGTTGAGCAGGTTGTCAACTGCACCAGAGCATCTGGCTGAGGGGAGGAAAAGGCCTGAAATCCAGCTCTGAGCCCTGGTTTGGAGCACTGTCTGTCCCAGAGCAAGTCTCTGTCTTGTTTCCACAAAGTGACCCGTGGGCTGGCAGTGACCCTCGCCCTAGAGCTTTCTGCTTCCAGATGTTCATCAGTCCATAAGCATTTTTGGTCTCTGATATCTCTGACCTCCAAACTCCTCTCTCCATCTGCCTCTAAGTTTCTAAGGCTTCAACCTCTTCCTCACTCTACCTTGCTGTGGCTCCCCAGTGTCCATGTGTCCCCTTCTTCCCTTCTGCCTCAGCCAGCTCCCTTCCTCTCTGCCTTTCTATTCCCAGCTTCTCACTTCCTCTGGCCACGGGTCTTGTTCCCTGTGAACCTTGCTTCCCCCAGGTTGGGTTTATGGGGACTTGGGGGTGGGGAAGGCATCTTGAACCCACTGCACAGTGCAGGCGGCCTGCTCAGTGGCATGTCTGTGCCCAGTGGCAGGCTGAGACCTGCAGTCGGATTAGAGAACAGGGCTATGTTTGCTAGGCTTTCAGAAGATGTGAGGCTCACGTCCTTAACGATCCTAAGACTCCAGCTTAGAGATGAGCCTCCTCTTTCTTCTCTGCCTGCATTAGGCAATAAATCAAAGCCCAGGGGAAACCGCAGCCTGCCCTCCCCCTTTCCATCAGCGGCGCCTGGGCCCAGTGAGCAGGTCAGCCAGGAGCTATGGGTGGGAACCAGGGCAGCCAGGCTGCTACCCCTACTCTGCCAGTACCCCCATTTTGTTCTGTCATTGAAGACCACCAGCGCTCCAGAGCAGGGGAGTCCATGTGCATCTGGGTATGAAATCCTTTCTACACCTGAGGTCACTTTCCCTTGTTGCAGGTACTTCTGTTGCTCAATTCTGCAAGAAAAATAGAGCAGTAGATAGAGCCCACCTTCAGCCCAATAGCTTCTTTTTGTACAAGGAAACCCCAGCCTTCTGTGTCTACATCCTTCTCAAGGCTGTGCCTTCCTTTCTGTGAAGCCGGGCTATCCCGAGGGGAGGGAGGCACAATGGACAGGACAACAGGATACTCTCCCTCCTTGTCCTGGAGGCAGAGTGATGTGGGGGGGATTCTCTCTCTGCCCCTTTCCTAAGGGACTGTGACAGAACCCCTCCATGGTAACCTCCCCATGATTACCTGGCCCTCACCTCTGCAGATTCTCCAAGTCCTCAAGCCCACCAGCTCTGAACAGGTGCTGGTCAAGAAAGTCAGCCCCTGCAGGAAAGGTCTAGCCTTGCACTCAGTTCTGCCCCGTGGCGGCTGTGAAGGCCCAGGTGCTAGACTCATACCATAGCTTACCCACAAAGCTGTGCTAAGGGAAACCACATTGCCTCAGACATGTGAGACAGTGCTGGGTCCTTTGACAGTCCTGCCCCCTGTGCCTTCACAAGGCACAGGGCAGCTGTGGGCAGAGCTCCCAGATCCTGGCCCCCAGCCTGAGTGTGTGTGTGTGTGTGTGTGTGTGTGTGTGTGTGTGTGTGTGTATGTGTATGTGTGTATGTGTGTCTGTGTCTATACCTGTGTCTGTTGGGTCTCTTGGCCTACCTTCCTTCACAGGCTGCTTTCCCCAGAGCTGCCCTTCTAGAAATTGAGCAAGGCTCAGCCTTGGCCTCCTGATCCTTTACAGACAGCTATGGCTTGCATCCACCCTGGTTCAGGTCAGTTTGGTCCCATTTAGAATGACTCCTGCTGAGCCTCTGCTGCATCTCACCAGGCCCAGATCTAAGTAACAGAGGTGGAGGTTTAAGAGCTCACTTCCACTCCTTGCCTAGGCGCCTGGGTGGGAGATTTCCCCCTAAGGCCTTGTTCCTGGATGGAGCCCAGTGTTTGTGCCTGAGAATTCCTGGCCAGTGTCCTCTTAGTAAAGACTAAAAC